TGAGAATGAAAGAATGCATCAGCCTCTAAAGCAGTCTATAAATAACTCGAGGCACACAATACCGTCAGTGAAAAGTTAATGTAATGCAAAGACGGGTTTTTAACACAGGGTGTCTGCATTACCCCAAAATTAAACAGATTTCAAGCATCTTCTTATTCATGTTTTTAGTTTCTTGTGTTGCTTTCACTGCACTGTCCCTTCAGCTGTCACACACATTGTCAGCTTGACATCAAGAGAAAGCATGCCTCAGTCGTAGGATGTGGTTTTCATCTCTAGGGTTACACTGAGAAAATGTGCTGACAATAAGACGACTGTTTCAAAAAAAGTGCGAAAGGTGTAAACAGTGAGAATTTAGATCACCTCAAACTCATAAGAATATTTTTTTTTCTAACTGATGAGATCATTAGGGACACCAGACTTCAGCTATGACTGGGATTTGACTTTTCTGGTGTAAAACCATCTTTAAATAATGAATGTATGTCTTACTTTGTCTAAAAAACAAACTTTAAATAGTAAGCATGGAATTCTTTATCTTCCTGTGAGCTACCTTGCAAATCCACCCAGCAGAATTAATTCTGGCTCAGAACCTGACAAAAAGTCTAGTGTACCTAAATGCCCTGGCAAGACTCCCTCAAGTCTCTTTTCAGAAAAGCTTTCCTCTGGAGTTTCTTAATTACAGCAGCAGTGGTATGGAGGCTTTTATATTTTGGCAGATGTTGTAAATTGCCTGGGAAATTGTTGGCAGGTTTAATCCACTTTTAAAAAACAAGCATTGATAATTGAGCATTGCAAGGCAGCTGAAGTATTCGGAATCATATTAAATGAAAAATGGCCACTAACTTCACTTTTGAAACAGGTCTGACGTTTTGTCTCACCAGTACCTGTACTATTTTCTTTTTTGAGGGATAGTATGCTAGATCATGTTTGTAGATCACTAATTGTTGTACTTTAAAAATAATTCTAAACTTTTAAGTGCCTAATTGATCTTTGAAGACTATTGACCATTATGAAGATGTTTAGCATTAACGCTTTTTGGGAAATAATGTAGTTATGCTTTATTCTCCTTGTATTGGATTGTTGAAACAGTGCAGCTCATCAATAAGTGTAGAAAGAATTCATATTCTGAATTAACACTTTATGTTCCACAGAGTACCCAAGTTACACCAAGTCAAACTGATACTGAAAGAGGTCTGGAAATGTGAGAAAGTCAGATTGAGGTGATTAAGAATGTTCTATTCCTTGTTTGGAGACTGTTATGTCCAAATTCCATACGCTTAGTAATTGCATTTTTGGCATAGTGGATTTCATGTTCATTTGCGCTCTGCGGACCTGAGACCTGAATATGCTCCTGTGACAACAGTTCAACCACATACATTATCTATCTGTAGTTTTGCTTCTCTGGTTAATTCTTTTTGCACTTCCTTTCTTTTTAATTCCACCTGAGCTTTTCCTTCCCTTTCCTCTCCCTCTGTGACTTTTATCTCTATAGGAGAGATATCTGTCTCTACAGGAAAGGAATCTATTGCCAAATGGCAATCTGAGTTGTGCCTGCACAAATTAAAAGAAGAAGCAAATAAAAAAACAAAGAGTAAACATCAAATGATGACTAAGTTTGTGTGAGCAATTATTATTATTATTATTATTATTATTATAACAACACACTATGAATCTGACAATACTCTCGCAGTGTCAGTTTGCAGCTGATCGAGGTGTAATGCAATATTCAATGTGACATTCTTCTGTAGTTGCCAAAGCGTGAGTAACTCACTCTTACTGTGAAAACAGATCAAAACTCATAACATACCCCTGTACTGTATACCGACAATGCACACAGTATGCTTCCATCTTCAATGACCTTATGTATACCATTGAAGACATTTCTGTTTCTGAAAACTGTATTACCATGTACTGTATATTGTACACTTATTGTATTGCATGTATTACAATGTAGATTTACTGATTCCCTGCCTGTGACCCTCTGGGTGTTTTAATGTATTCAGTACGGTCCAAAAAGGTCACTACTGGGAAATGACATCCTATTTGTTTCTGGTTTCCAATTACAACTGTTCAACAATCAGGTGTCAACTCAAAACGCATGGGATACCATGCTAATAAAACTGAATATAAATCTCTAATTCTTTAAAGAGTGTTAGTTTTCCTCTCCTGGGATCCACGAGCAATGCATTAAAGGTAATGCTCTCAATTATGTAGCATGCATGTAAGTTATTAAACACAAAGAATGGGATAATTACAGCTGCAATTCTATTAATTTTAAAAGCTAATTATCTTAATAACATTCAAATAACAAGTAAGCAAATCATGTATAATTTTCAGATTATAATACTGTTTTAGAGTTAAAAAAAAACGTAACCACCTATTCTTGCCTGGCTCATCATAATAACAAATAATAATAATTATTGTCCAGAAGAAGAAACATCCAAAAAGAGGAATCAGTACAGCCATTTAAAATGATATACAGTAGACTAATTGCCATGATAACAGCACACAATTAAAAGCCCTATGAATGCCAGGCAGTTCCTTCGGCAAATCATCACCTGTCAGGGACAAAGACCATAGAACATCATATCTTAGGCAGTAGATAACATAAATATTCACGAGAGAATGTGAGGTACTGTACATGTCCACAATATCCCTAGTACAGATGCCATGTGACTCACTTACAAACCTATGAGGCAGACAAGGACATAAAAACACAAGAACTTAAGAAAGGTTACTAACGAGAGAAGGTGAGGTCTTTTGGTTTCTAAGAGTTTATTCATTCATCAGGTGTCGGGGTTAAAACAGAAAACTGTACAAATCTAAAAGACAATCTATTATTTGAGCCATGCACATTATTCAACCTGCAGGCATAAATGCATACCACAGGCTTTGGCAAGTATAAGTTTAAAATACATATAAAAAATCTTATTTCCTGTCGTATTCAATGGGATGTTTTGAATGGGTTTCTACAAAAAAGCTACAGAGTACAAAGAATTCTCTGAGGTATAGACACTTATGATGATCTTGCACCTGTGTAAAAGCATTAAGAATGGCAAAATTCCAGTTCCTGCTCTTTTTTGTGTAGTGCAATGCTTTTTAAAATAATTATTATAGTGGTACCTGTTATTGTATTACCAATTATTAGACACAGTGGGTGACAAGTGATGAGTGAAATGTGGAAGCAGGGCCACTGTGTCACTGATCCCATGATGCATGGGATCAAAATAGCAGATGGAGGACATCAAATCTGACACTATGCCTTACAGCATTGCTCTAACCATGCATGTACACATCTGCCTGCTAGACTGTCAAAAACCAATGTCATAGCAGTAGAACAGAAACTTCATGTCATTCTGCCCTGATTGTTGAAGCTCAATGGATTTTCTAGGAAAGTACATGCAATCCATAAAAACTAGTAACAAATAATACACCAAAAGCACTGAATAAGTTCAACTGGACCAATTATTTTTAAACTGAAGAGATTAGTAGTATTGTAAGACAATGTGCATATACAGTATGCAGATAATTTATAACAGGAATAAAACAATCCAGCTTTTGAATTGCTAGAAAAAGTGTAGTTAGTAGGCATCATTATTGAAAGAAGGGAACTGCATTCTTGCGGTGCAAAAATATTGATTATTGACATTGTAAAGCCACAGTGTAGCTCCAGCTGCTGCATTCAACTTGACACACTTCCAAGCAGAAACTTATTTTATTTCTTAAATCACCATGTCATGGAAAAACATGACTGTTACTATATTGTTCATTATGCTCCACACTATGATGTGGAAAGCACAATATTTGCAAAGAAATGCTTCAGTATGCAGAAAACCCAAAGATTTTTTGGTGCTACAGCAAAAACACAATACAGTTTCTGTTGTCATCTGTAGATACTATAGATGCAGCACTGTGTTCTTTGTGAGGGCATTTGGGGTGAAACGAAAACCTATCAGTACCTTTTTTGACTACAGTATGTAGGATTTTAAGAGAAAAATACACTGTCGCAGGAACACTTAAGTTAAGAAAAGGTACATGACAAATCAGATTAAATATGAAGTTATTACATCCAAAACTGCATTTTAGGTTTAGAAAAATATAATTTTCAAGGATCTTCTTTAGTTTACAAATGAAGCCGGAAAAGAAAAGGGTAAAAGGGAATATCTATAAAAGCAAAATCCCCTAGCTCTCTTTAGCAAAGTTGGTAACACTGCAGAGGTGCCTAACGGCTGCTTCTCTTGGCACGTGGGGCGCATTCCAACAAGACGAGCCAGTCTCCACAGGATATAATGAGCTTGCTCTGGTTTTGCTGGGATTAAACTGGATCTCCATCTGTACCAAAGAAACATTCTCCATATCACGCACCTGCCTTTCATGTACAAAGCTTCTAGAACAGCAGCATTAAAGCAGGCAGGCCCTGCCGGAGCAAATAATCCTACTGAGGGGTAAACTGAACTGGAACTACGGCCTGAACTGCTGACCAGATGTTCCTTCTCACTAGGATATTACTTCCAGACATTTTCATTTCCCATCTTCTTCATCTTGGATTCTAGAGTCACTGCTTCTCCAATCACTGGGTTTCTGAAACTGTTCTCATTATGCTGTAGACTCCACTGCTAAGGACCAGGATGGGTCAAAACAGTTGAGCACTATGGATAAACTCTGTGCTGGAAACAAGATGAGCTGTGATACATCTTCGTTACTTTAACATTGCCATTAGACCATGTTGAAAGACCTGCTAAGGAACTCAGTTGCAAATTTCAGAGTAGTCTAAAGATGAGAGGTCAGTGTTCAACTGAAGAGCTTTCGTACTCTCTGACAGGCACCCATCGGGGACATTGGTAAAAACTGTTCTATTACCTCAAATATGGGTTGATAAAGGATTTTTTCAAGTCTCACTTCAGTCCCTCCACAATGATATTTTTATAAATCAAATAACACTTTCATTTCTGGTTTTCTTACCAGAGTGCTGAGACTGAAGAAAGAAAGCCGCATGACAACCACAACCTGCAAAACTGCAATCAATTATATACTGTATATGGCTCATTTTGCTTTGGTTTTCAAACAGTATCCCATACATCCTAAATTATCAGGTAAGTGATTCGTATTTGTATCTGCAGTTTCACATCGAAAATATGTTGGGCAACATTGTATATTTACCCTCAAGTTTTAACAAATTTGATATAATATTAACATTTATGGCATTACAAAAGGAAAATCACCTGGCCTTGAAATCATTAAATTACTTCTCATTTTATTCCTCTACATCTTCTTAAAGTCTTTAAGTACAAAGAAATGGGGGAAGAGTTGTATTCACAACCGGCTTCCATCATAATCCTGGAAAAGTCAAACATTCTGTTGCATACTGGTATTTGATATAAATTATACTACCAAGCTGCAAACAGACAAGAGAAAGTTATGAAAAAAAGCCATTTATGCAGTACACAAAATACTTCAAATGCTGAATAACTGTTGTTCCGTTTCAAATTAGGAGCTGAAATAAATGTACATTTGAGTAAATTATTTCCTGTATCCCTCATTTGAGCATTTATCTCGCTGTACTGTCCTGGAAAACCTGCATGTTGGAATAACATTGCCAAAAAATTGTATCTTTCCTCAACTTAAGAGACACAGTGTATCATCTGTCTGTTTCCTTGTCCTTAAACATTTCACCCCTCCCCCACTTCTCCAAAGAGCTGCAGTGCCGGATTTATGAATCCCAGATTATAAATGGCAGACCTATCCCACAAATAGAGATGGATGGGTTCCAAACAACTGTATTTATCACCTAGAAGCCAGGGGAGCAGTGATGCCAGATGTGAAATGACTGCGCTGTGGCTGATGCACCTGACATGATGTGCCTTGCCCATCAATCCACCCACCCCAGACACACCTCCCTTGCACACAGAAAAGTTGCCTGTAAATAGCCACCGTCCCTGAACAGCTTAATAGCCGTTTTACCTGATTAAACCTCCATACATCAGCGCCAACTTATTTGCACAGCTCCCCACTCTTACCATGAAGGGCCAGATCCATTACACTAGCGAAAGGAGATGCTTTGAATTTCTCATTCTTAAGGTAACATACAGTATTGTGGTGTGTATTTCAAAGACTGTCACAAATTCTTGCCTCTCGCGGAGTGCTATACTAATTGTTCATGCTATTGTACGTCTCCCACAGAACTGATCTCCAGGAGTAAAACAAAGGAACATTGTTAAGATTAAGGTATTTATAATTCTTCATTATATTTTTTTCAGCATGGCATAAACCTATTACTTTTTCCTTTATAACACTTAGAGTATATAGCACTTTTGATGCCATTTTATTCAATGCTTTATTCTATTTTGAATTGGGAGCCAGTGCAAGGAAGCCAGTGGCAAAGTGGTATGAGATCTTTGAGATCTTGAGAAAGTTGTCTGTGTAAAGACTCTAGAATATGCATTTAGCACAAGTTGTGACAAAGCTTAATAATAATAATTTCTTACATTTATATAACACTTTTCTTGACACTCCAATGTTGAAATTGGGCTTTCAAAGCATTTTACAGGTAATGGGGATTCCCCTCCAACACCTCCAATGTGCTGCATCCACCTGGATGATGCAACAGCAGCCATAGTGTGCCAGTACGCTCACCACACATCAACTATCAGTGGGGAGGAGGACAGAATGATGAAGCCAGTTCATAGATAGGGATTATTAAGAGGCCATATTGTTAAAGGCCAGGATGCCAGGATAACACAGCTACTCTTTTTAAGAAACACCCTGGGATTTTGAATGACCACAAAGAGTCACAGGGGACAGAGCATCTTTTTAAAGTACAGTGTCTTCGTCACTATACTGGGGCATTAGGACCCACACAGACCACAGGGTGAGTGCCCCTTACTGGTCCCTCTAATACCTATTCCAGCAGCAACCTTAGTTTTTCGCAGGAGGTCTCCCATCCAGGTACTGGCCAGGCTCACACCTGCTTGGCTTCAGTGGGCTCCCAGTTGTGAGTCACAGGGTGATATGACTGCTAGCCATATCAGCATATTTGTGCGAGAAGACTGGTAAATACAGTATATAATGTATTTGGTTTTTCATTGATATTTGGCTTTAAGAATATATATGTGTGCTTTAAACCACAGCTAACATAAATATCAATGCCCAGTCTTCTCTTTAGTTTCATAAGCTCAAAAATCTGATTTAAGTTATCTGGTGTTTTACTTAGACGGCAAGATTGCAGAACTATGTTATGCCAGAGCTGCTCGAGCACACAGATGCCTTCTCTATACAGGAGTCGGCAGAAGCCTTTTGTCTTTCTGCTTGAAATCTTTATCAAACCACCTTCAGCTGCTCCCCAGATGAGGTACAGAAGGCTCATTCTTCTCTGGGCTGCTGACAAGGCTACACAGAGAAGAAGATCTCTTCCCATTTTGTTTCTCATGCCACAGAACTGTCAGCAGGTGGACAGATGCCAAATTGACGGCAGTGAGCAGGTAGAGACATTTATTAGTGCCCACACTGCCAGCCAGGACAGGTGTGAGCCATTAGATAAGAAAGGGACACCTGACTGATGCACAAGGCTTTCTCTGAAGCCTAGAGGAGTGGCAGAGTTCCCAAAAATGTGCTATTCTCCTTGCCACCCTTCAATTAGGCTGTTTGGAGAAATTAATTAATCTGTTGAAACCTGAGCAGGAGTACATTTCATGTTCATCATCGGTATTCAGAGTAAATTAGATTTTTATATTGCATTTCCTTCAATGTATCATTTCAGAGTGGTTGAAAATCTAACCTATTTTTTCATAACAGAACAAATGTTTATGGTGTACCTTTTGATGCTTTTAAGTGAAGGTACTAGAAACAGTTGTTAGCATGAAAAGTTTTTTTAAGTTTAACTTGTACATTCACTTTTCATTTTAATAGCTAAAGTTAGATTGTATTGTGAAATTGAATCCACTATTTCCAAAGATCAAGTAACAGTGCATCATTTTCAAATTGGGCTCCAGTGTCATGTTTCTGTGATTGGGTAGTACCTCACACATTATAGCTTTCACATTTCAAGACAATTCCTCATCTATTGCCATTTTTAGCATAGAAATCTGGAAAAAGAAAGAGCCAACACATCACCCATGAACCAAAGATATGAGCCACTCTCTAACAATGTGATACCCAAAATCTCTAGATGTGACCTGTCATGGTACAGGCCAATGGCTGTCGAAAAATAAATAAACTGCACATCAGGGGTCCCCATTTAGGACAAAGTACTGAACTGCATACATTTTAGCTGGAAAGACTATTTGGAATATTAAACCTACAGGTACAGTATATGACACAGGAATGTCACTGCAAACCACAGCTCATTTCTGAAGTATAGGACGTAAGATAGGGCTACACTCTCAGTCCATCGCAAGGTACATATACCAGAACTATTTTGAAAAACTAGTTAAAGTAGCAAGCATGTGTTTGGAGCGCAGGGAGAAACTGTTGCACCTAGCACTCAGGCAAATGTAGTGACCATGAAAGCTCTACAGAGTGCTATAAAATAGTTCATAAAGATCATTTATAAGTCATGAAATTACAAGTAAATTCTAATAAAATTGCCTACATTATAATGTCTTCTGCAAACCATCTGAAGACAGCCAAGAACATGAAGAGTTAGATGGAAAAAAATATATATAGCTTTTCCCTTCTTGAAATAAAACCATTTTAAGTTGTTTTAGAAAGAAATGTGATGCACTGCACCAAGTACTGATAGGGATTTCACAGGAAATTCTATATTAGCCCACACCTAATTAAATTAACATTATTGACACTTTACAAAGTGTAACCACTGTAGTGTTTATTTAGATGGGTCAGAGCCATGGGGAAAATCAATCCTGATTCCCATGCAAGGCTGTTGAAAAGAAGACAGGTGGAGGCTTTCCTAGCAGAATGCCAAGATGGCAGAACATTCCTCCATAACCCAATTATTTTATAAGCAAAGAAAACATTCCTTCATTATTGAAAAATGTATTGCATAAGCATTGGGGATACTGATCTTCTTTACACAGATCTGTGAAGGCATAAGAATTCCTGCCAAAAAGGCAGATTTACTTTAACAAACCAGCAAAACTGGAAGACTCCTTTTATTTTTATAAACAAGCTATTGAGACTGGTGTGTATGGAAGCCTGCACATGAATAACTGGAGTTATGCTAGGCTATCAAGAAGAATAATTCACAGCCACTGGATTCTCTTGAGCTACATAATACCTGAAAAAACATCTCACAAAGGATTTTCGAAAACAAAATGTACCTCATCTTAGCCTTGCTCTAAGAACAGATGGCAGCTGGAGACAGATCATTTGCAGATTCCGAAACACAACTAAGTTCTACTCTGTTTTAAGGCAGAAATACTACCTCTGATGCAAAAAATATTAAAAATACACTATGATAATTCGACTTTCTCAGTTCTTTCGACGAAACAAATAAGTGGAAGTACCGACATGTTGCTGTTCAACTTAGCAATAAAATGTTTAATCGAAAGAAATGAGCATAACAAAATCAAACGTTACAAAGCACTTCATTCAGTTGTACTGTGCATCAAATTGCTTAGTGGTCGATTAATTTACCATCTAACTCAGTGTTTTGAAATATTAGGGACATATCCTGCATTATGGACCATGACAGGTGATGTATATTATTATTAACCTTCCATTCAAGGTTTTTCTTTTTCAATGCAATGTATTAAGCTTATTCATGATGCCCAATAGGTGTAATCATGTCATTGAAACCACCCCTACATATTTCATTATGGGTTTCAGAGCAAACATAACCCAGTGGGGGCTCTGTGGCTCAGGATCTTGCGCCCGTGGCTGGAAGGTTGCCAGTTCGTATCCCGCGGCCGGCAGAGGAATCCTACTCTGGCCCTTAACCCCAACTGCTCCAGGGGCGCCGTATCAATGGCTGACCCTGCACTCTGACCCCAAGCTTCTCTCCCTGTCTGTGTGTCTCATGGAGAGCGAGTTGGGGTATGCGAAAGACAAATTTCCAATACAAGAAATTGTATATGGCCAATAAAGGTCTTATGAACCTTCCAATCACCACTAACTCCACTAACATATACAGACAAATCAATTTGGGGAATAATACAAGCGGCAAACCTTACCGATAACAGCATGGCTGAAATCAGCAGGCACTGGCAGGTTTCTCGGAGAGATGGTAGATGTACTGTAAAACGAAAGGGTTTATAGACCTCATTGTGCCAACACAGGTTTTCAGAACAAGTTAGCCCAGACAGGGAACATCTGAATTTATTTCACACTGCCTTAACATAACAGTCTAATGAGACTACCTTACATCTTGTCAAATGAAAACAACTAAACTATATTATGTTCCAGGAGAAAAATAATAATTCAGTAACTATGTTCAATCATAAGAACAGAATACAAATATACTGCATTACATCATACAAGCACATATTTTATTTTAAAATATACTTTTTTTGCTAAAAATCAAGAATAGGTGCAGTTTCCCAATTTTAGCAAGATGTATAAAGTTCTTAATGAGAATGACTTTAAAAAAATCACTGATGGTACAGTAAATCTCTGAGTGTCCTTGCAGAGATGCTTCCAAAGAACATAAAGTAGAGTCAAGATAAATTATTTTAAAATAGGACTGATGTGTTTCTCAATGTTTCTATATGCACATTTGTGCAATTATCTGGGTTTACAGCAGGCGAGGACTAACCAATGCATAGGAGAACCCTGCTAATGCCTTCTAGTTGAAGAGAAAAAATAACCTACAATTTAGTATGTTTGCAGCATATCTGTGACTAATAATGTTGTTTATATTAGAGAGGCAAAACTGGAGCATTGATTGCTAATATTTTATCAGGCTTAAGTTAAGTTAATTAATGTTCTCTTAATCAACCAATGGTGAAAACGAAAACAATTGCCTAAATAATTAATGCCACAATTAAGCCAGACCAGAGAAATTATCATTCTGGTGTTGTACAAAACCCTTACAATTAGCACTTTATTTTCTTCCCTTTGATTAGATGATTCCCAATCACAACCTTCTATTTTTAAATTACTGTAACTCAGGTTTGTTCTTATTCTGATGGCAGATATAAAATGTCTTCTCCAGGGGTCAAGAAACATATTGTGAAGCCAAGGCTGTTCAATTTAGCAAACAGAGCCCACCTCTCCTCACCTCTCATGATCTACAGCAAAGCAGAAAATAACAGTATTCAATTATTAACAAGAAATCATGTTGTGACCTCACATCTTCCAATAAAATGAAATTGATTCCATAGGAAAAAATACATACAGTATGATCCACAATACTTTTCACCTGCACCACAAGCTCTTTGGCTTTCCTTCCAGCAAATTTCCCAGGAAAGGTTGATCCTTTCTTGCTTGCTGAACGGAGCTTTCTAATAAAAATTCCACACCATGTGTACACATCATTTGAAACACAATACCAATTCCCTGAGGTATTCTGAATACTAACTGCATGTCAATGGAGTGTTGGGAAGACCTTTCCTGAATACAGATGTTGTGACTGCGTTTTGAATAACTAGCGCCTTTGTAAAAGGATCTTAAAGGATCTGAGTGAATAGCACCTTTTTCAGCTCACTCGTGAGGTGATACTGTGTTCTGGCTCCTCCCATACACCTGTTAGCTGGCAAAAAGCTCCGCAACATCAAAATAGAGGCCAGTCTGAGAACCTGTGAACATTCATTACCCAGATAATGCAATTTCTCTCACGTTATACTACCAGCAACAGAATTCAACTGAATATGACCCAGAAGTGTAACCAAGTAGTTGAGATTTTCCTTTTCCTTCCTCCCAGTGTTGGGTGCTGGGATTACAAGACATGAACAGCAGTCCTAGGATCTTTCAGGATTCTGGAGCCTACAAAGTAAGAACTGTCTACTCTTTCTTCCATTATATACAGCCATGATCCACCACAATCCTCCAGTGCACTGGATTCATGTGCACCTTTTAATATTCATGTCTGTGTTCTGGGAGAAACATGTAACTGACATGCAACTACTTAGATATTACTTCTCACTTCCACACTCTTAGCCATCAGCCTTAATTTAAAATTCTACAATTATGTCAGTTTGATTTTAGGATTTCTTCTAATGGAGGCAGGAAAACTATCTTGCTGCCTCTAAACTTTTATGTTTCAGTGTTAGCAACAGACTCCCTTTGCAAACTAACCTTTTTCTTTGTAAAAACATTTTCCTTTCTAAATTGCTTTACAGCATATAACCGGAAGAACTTAAGTCAACACAAGTCTCATAGAAAATTCCAGACTAGATTAAATTAGTTTTTGATGGACAAAACCTTGCCTGCTCATTTTGAAACACTTGGTTGGCTTTGCATTTTTGTTTATTTTCACATTTGAGTGTAAACTATACAGTTTATAATCATAGACCTCTGCCAGGAAGCCTTTTTCAGATATTACTGGGAGGAAACTAAACTCAATGGTATAAACAAGTTCATGAATATTTAGCATCTTTGAAAAATACATGTATTAATACACAGTATTTCCTCCACTTCTGAGCTATTGGTATGTTGGAAAATCAGACAGGTAGATAGATGTGTACCACCCTACATGGTTTGCAATAAATAACTACACAGGTATTTCTCACTGTAGATCTATGCCCTTAAATGAGGTGTTCAATGCAATATTAGTCTTTCAAAGCACCTCATTTCCAAAGGCCATGTGAAAGTCAATTTTATCATTTTAGCAAAGGCATTCTGCACAGGAGACGTGCGCCTTAATTTACATCATTCCCCTTTCCTCATACTATGATAATGAAGCAGTTAAGGGTGACAAGTAGAGGAGTGACTGTGCATGAGGAAAAACAATGGCAACTGAATCCCCCCACAGCTGGAATGTGTTGTTCTGACATTCCTTCACATCCTGTGGGCAAAGCAAAATGGTGATTAATTATCTTGGCAATGCTGTTGTGCATCTTATTTCAGATGAGGTGTCAGGTCTAATTCTTTAATGTAGTGCATATTTTATTACAATATTCTTTAGTTTTTCTGGAGGGAGATTCTCAATAAAAAAAGCATTACAGTATATTAGTCTTAAACCTCTGGCTCTAACGAGCACAGTACCTTTACAGCATAGATGAGAGCACATTAATCCACACCATGTGTTATCACCACCCACACCTTGCTCAATTACAAATGGAATTATAAATATGACCTTTGGAGAACAGAGGTTGGAACCAGTAATTGAACTTAATTACTTGTCAAATGGCATTCTTGAGGGGGACCCCCCAAGTGACTCCTCAAGGTAAAACCCTCCATCACTCACGAACAGCATCTGGAAGTCAGCATCAGGTGGCACAGCAACCCTGGCTGAGACTTGCTACAGTAGATGTGACTGAGCAGGGCAGGCTGAGGGATTTAGGATTTATCTCGCAACTGGGCCTCCCTGTCACTGACAGGACTTGATGAACTCGAAATTTTAAGATGAAGTCCCCAGTGGTTCCTTGGCTATACATCTTAAACATAGATTTCCACGTTCCCCACAGCTTGTGACCTTCAGAATAATCATTTACGTAATATTAACATGGAAATGTCAAATTGCTTGTCAAAAACAAAAATAAGATATTAAGCTACTGTATTAATTTTATGAATAAAAGTAAAATGAACAAATAATTATTTCTTCAGGCAGTGCTTTTTATCTCATTTGCACCTTATATAATATATTCCTACCTTGTTTCTCTTTTACAGCCTGTAATGTCACCATGGATCTCTACTTACTAATGCAGCTCAGAATGGCTGCTTACTGTGCACTTGGCATCATTTACATAGATACTTCTAGTTAGAACTCAGATAAAAATGAATTACAAAGTACTGTAGGAGAAAAATCTATTAAATTATCTTGCTTTGTCAAACAAATGTAAACTTTATGTGAACATAGTTTCAAAGCCTGGGAAAATAAACAACAGGATGGATGACCTGTGCTGCAAATGATACAGGCGTCTATGATCATTCTTGGTCTGTCTGATGAAGCAAACAATATCTGTAAAATTGAAACAGGTTTAAAGACGAGAAACAGAATCTTTAGTGTAAACATGCAGTATCAAGCAACTACTACGAGAAAAAGTCAAATAGGATTTACAAAATTCCATTTAATTCTCCAATTCATTCAGAGATCTTTTCTTTAGATATGTATCCATTTTCATCTCTACGTCTGTCCTATAAAATTTAAGGCAGTGAGAGCCAATTATGATCATAGAAATGGGACAGAACATTTGATTATTAAAGCTTATTCTAAAAAGTATATTTAAATGTACAAGTATCCTATAAACAATTTAACAAATGACTTGCATGCCTTTTACCAACCAAAACGGTGGCAGTGCTTCAATTGCTTCCCTGAAACCCTTTGTTTCCTTTAGAGCCTGACTGAAAAGGTGAAATGGGAAGTAATTTCAATGAGTAATTTCTAAAATTACTTCCTAGTGGCATCAATAGGACCTTGAATCTTCTCATTGAGAAAACAACAGTTTAGATCCTGTCAACAATATCTGAACAGAGCTAGCATTTTATTTATATGTGAGCTTACCATTCACACCAATTCATAAAAATCATTCTAGATTTTGTCATCCATTGGTTTCAGAAGGGTTTCCATTGCTACTTCTGGGCACGGATGAACAAGGTTTAATTTGCAGTGCTACAGTATGAATCATCATCTTCAGTTTAAAAGAAAAATACTACTCCTATTAGTAACACGTACAAACTGCAGGTGCATGTCATTCATCATGGAAAACTAAAGCAGTAAATGCCTCTATGCCAGTAATACAACACGTTAAAACCCCTAGAAAGTTAACTGCAGTTGTAGAGTGAAATTTGCAACACATACTTCATCATATTTATGAGGGCACAGTAGAGTGGTATTCAATTAAAGGAATCTTCTTTACAAATACAGAATAGAGACAACCCTTATGTCACAAATGCCTACGACAGCAGGAGACACTGATTAACCCTACGGCAGGGGTACCAAAAGCATGGTTCATGGGCCACAAAGCCATTTAATGCGGCCCTCTACTGGGCTCTGCATTGAACTGCATGTGAGGCCTGCGATGATGGCAGCCCATAATGAATTAATCAGCTAAAAAGTCTGCATAGTTAAACAGGTGCAAGCCATGTATTACCAGTAAAGTTTAAAATAAGTTGTTTTCTTTTTTCTTATACCAGTGCCATTTTTAAATATGGCATGAAAGACTAACTAGGCATAGCAATGTTTTCTTACTTTCTGTCTTAAGCCATAATTATTATATGTTTTTATTCAATATATTGCTTTTATGAAGAATAGTCTTTTAATATAAACCATTATATTTGTATGAATAATTTGTTTTCATTCATGGCAACATGAATAAGTGATGTTCTACATACATGTGTTTTCTCACTTTAAAATAAATAGTAGTTGCAACATTAAATTGAAACATTAAATCATTTTGTGATCCATGCAGTTATGTCGTTGCCCCTTTTCCTGCAATACCTGTGAACTACAGTCCTCGCTTCTGACATACTGCACAATTCACGCATGTACTGTACATCTGTCAGCAATATACAGTAACTGTTGAATGTACAGAGGTAAAAGCAGTGACTACTGCTCAAGACACAGGGTGACAATACTAACACTCAACACTTTAAAGACAAAACAGACACCTGTATCTCAATCACACTGACAAACCCCTTAAAAGAATATATACTGATGAGCAGCACTTGACATACCCAATATACTTTATGTTTATTTGAAAAGTTGAAAGATTAAGCGCAGGGGTGTTTTGGCTCAACCCACTTGGCTGCTTGGCATCCAAGTCATAGGATGAGAAGGCTGGGACTCCCATGAAGACTGAAATTAACCAAGGTTTAGCCGCTAAACTGGAGACAGGGTGAGAAGGGATGTAAAAGAAAGTGAATGTAAGAGAAAGAGATTTTTTATTGCATTTCCGGTAAAGTCATGAAGGATTACAATTTAGAGCATCAGAATTGAAGGAGAATTTGGCTACAGTCATCCCCCCTGAACTTTTTCTAAAAACTCCAAAACAAACTACTGTCTTTGGAGACATCCAGCAGAAATGGCATTTGATAACTGCTCACTAACATTCATTTACTTTGTCAGCAGCACTAACCCTCAAAAAAGACCTGCAAGGTAGTCTGTCCCACGGTATAGAAGAGTGCTCAGACAGACCTTTCCAAGTATTGTTTTCAGCATGTAGACACAGGGTTCTTTTTCTCCCAGATTACAACCCTTTATGCAGAAGTCAAGTCAGTGGTCTCAATGTGTTTCTTTTAGAAACCAATCAGCATATTAGCTCCCAGTCAAGTCAATTGTACCCCAAAGGAAATTAACCCCCATCCCAAAAAGAAATCAAGAAAAAGCAACAGGACCTTATAGGAAATCAGGGTACACAATTCTTTCGCCTGGAAACTCAGAACCACACTCAGGAATCTCTTTTATTTTAGGGCCAGTTGAACAAAATGGATTGAAACATTGTTTTCCTATGCTAATTTCACTTTTTTGTGTGTGTGCAGCAGGCAAAGTTTCCCACTTCCACTGAGCTCTTCACTTCCCATAACCCCTTTCACTACCCCCTTTCTTCTGTGTTGCCACGATGGCTCTCGTTGCTAGGAGACGCCCAGAATGCCTACCTACCCTCTTCTAGATTTTGTGGCCAAGGTATTTCTTGTGCGATCCAGTGCTTGGGTTGCCAGTGAATGTGAACTTTTACAATAAAATTAAGGAACAAGAAAAAGTGGGGAGCTTGCCAGCTTACTGGTAGGGATGGAAACAAGTGATTTGCTGCTGTTCAGTACAATCCATCTTGTGGTACTTCACTTCATCAGTTCTAGGTACCAACACAATGGGACATACAGCTTGATATGTTGTAATGAGGTGTTTGAAATGGAAATTACTCCTGAGTTCTTTTGATACATACTTTATTTGACACTGAAGTTGAAAAAAGAAAGGGAAAGGTATTTCACAGTGCAAAGGCAGACAATCTAATTGTTATCCATGTTTTCTTGCGTTCATGTTTCTTACAGCAGTTTTTGCAAGCACTGTATTGAAGTCTCATGTAATATCAGTAGAGGTCATGGGTGAAGTGAGGGCAGAGGTAGGAGCATGAACAGAAACAAAATGAGGATATGAGGTTATAAGACAGTAAAATGTGTTCAGAAACTGCAGCTGGCTCAGATATGCTTCAAAGCTGTGGAATATATTCTTGAAGAAATACCACAATACAGTGGAAATATCTTACTGCTCCGATTTTCAGTGAAAGACCCTCAAAACCATTCAATTGAGCAGGCTTTTATACGAGTCAATTATGACTCAGAGGGAAAATAAGCTCTTCGAAAAAAATTACCTAATTTAAAGTTTAAAAGAATTTTATACCTGAAAAAATATTTTAACGTTGTGACACAGAATGACTTTTAAAGAACGTTTGAAGTCACTCTGTGTCACAATTGTGCAGTGATGGACAGGTCTTTTCAAACATGGATAGCAATTTAAAGAGCAGATTTAATAATGGGCATAATCATAAAAATATACCTCAGATAGTTGTGAAACCAGTTTTTCATTGTCTGCTTACCTTTTAAATTCACATCCAACATTTCTACAGCAAAAATCCAGAGTCATTAAAGTAAATGTACTCACCAATGTTAACATAAGGTAATTCACATTTCAGCTAGAAGACAGGTGAAGCTAGTAGTAGTAAGTTAGTAGTTTAACAAAGTGTCAGGCATTTTTACACTTCATCAGCCGTCTGCAAATCATCATCATCATTACTATAATGATGGATAGTTGTTCAGAAAATAACTGTCATACTTTAAATACTTCTGAACAGTTGAGTCCTGAGTATTTTAAGCACCAAAAAACTAATCATTAAAAAAAAGATTGAAGAAATATATTATTGCAATAGTCAATAGCTGTTAATCACAATGTAGAGATCTTTCACACAATTATTTATTTGCTTTTTTCTGTTGCAGTACATATACAGCTCAAAACCACCCTTAGAAATAAACAGACACTGAGTTCAGAATTTAAATTTAAACAATCGCCTCCTACTGAAGATGTGTAGAAATCAATTCACCTGCTTATTGGTAGGGTTAAGAATCCAGCCTGCATGAATACAATTATTAGTCTGCATTAATGAAAAATATAACCCTCAAGCAGAGGTCAAATCAGGTAACAGCACGTACTGGAAACATAGTCAGGGCAGTCTAAATAACTTCTGTCAGTTGCATAATGCTTCAGATTCATCTCTAAACAAATTAATGGCTCCTAGGCCAAAGGTCCTAGCTTTATCAAATGTGTTTTCAGAGCAGGTTTGCAACCTTGTCAAATATGTCCCATCAATCCCCCAGAATCTCCTTGGCAACACCTCAACAGGCACGTGCTTCCAAGGTCGATGAAAAAGTGTGTGAAAGGGGGGAGCAGGGTCATGACCTCATCACCGAAACTCTAGGCTACAAATCAATATTCCAGCAGGGTAGATGAGCTATAAATGAATTCCAGGGGAAATTAAAAAAGGAGAAATAAAAGCAAATTGTGTCAGATGAGGCCATTTTTGCTATTAAATGGAAGAATAATAAGGTTTCTTGTTAAGATTATAAAAAAGGAATGAGGGAGTGTGAGGTATAAATCCTACTAGCATTTGAGGCAGAAGTGTTCTGGCCTTGATGCAGTACCACAGAGGGAGCTCAACTGACGGGTCTCATACAGCACGGCTAACCCTGAAACCCAGCACGAGAGCCGCTGAGCCCATCAGCCTTTCATCCAGTCTGCAGTCTGAAGCTTTCTCTAGATTGAGCCACTTTCACCGAACTAATCACACAGCTAATCTATCTCAAGAGACTGTAACTTCTGAGACACTCAAACACAGACCTTCCACAGGCAATGGCCACACTGTAGCCCAGTTCTCTGCTTCTTCTCTGCATTCCCTGAAATGTATTCCTAAATTTATTTCAGAAAACTGAAAGGGGTTGCACAGCTTTTTAAAAATTCATTTGTTTCTTTCAGCTATATAGGGATTTGACAGTTAAGAATCCAAAATTCTTTCAGAATCATTATGAGTGCTAGTATGGGTCAATTCACAGCAGACCTTGGCTGTGCTGTACATCCTTTAGTAAGAGAATTCTATTATCTTCAACACACACTGTCTGATTCTTCATTTACAGTGGAGTTTGTGAAATAGCTTCTTGCAAGCAATAGGAGTCTGATTTACAAAGCATCTGAGTGGCAATTAGTGAAGACTGCATTATTGTTTTGTGCCTACTAAGACTCTCTCTCTGCGGGATTAACCATTTTTGTTGATGACCTGGTTTACTGTGGCCATATTTTAACCAAAGGACAATGGTAGAATTTCAATATTTCAAGACTGATGAAAGAATCTAGGACAGATCCTACAGTGTGACTTTTAAAGGGTCCAGATTGCATTACTGAGGAGGGAGACAAATCTCCAAACAAGAAACAAAACTCATGCCCTCTAAACACAGTTCATGTGGCAGCACGTGTTCCATCTCTTGTTTGCCTGCATGATGGAGTATTATCAGTACGGTAGGCAAACTACTTTTCAAATTGTGCCCTAAATTTTATCTTGCACTGTTTAAATTTCTCAAACTATCATCGGTTATACCTCTGATCATCAACAAGTATTAATTCAAAAAGAACTCTTATTGGTTCAAGGAGATTATGGTAAGCCTTGTGAAAAACACAGAGTCATGGGAACATACAGTCGTGTCCCTGACAAGTCTGCCCTAGAGCTGCCAGCTCCCAGACATGGGGCCGGATTGATTTTTTATTGGGTGCATTACGTTGCTGTGAAAGCCTGTCTCTTCCAGCACTACAGTCCGTACGGTTATGCACTGGAACCCCGAGCCTGAGGAGGGGGTGGGACTCACCTATCCTGGGGACGACGCCGCTCTCTACCCTGCTCCCTTCTCCCGAGCCCTGGCAGCCATCCTCATCGTCACAGTCGGCGCTGCCTTCCTGCGTCCCGCTGCCTGCCTCCGCCCACACCCGCGGGCGGGGGGTCCTCCCGTGCAGCTTCTGCAACGCGACAAATGCAGGGACAATGAGTAGGATCCGTGTGCCTTAGTACAGCGCTAATGAAAGGACCCCGTCAGCGCATCAGTTAGCCTGGTAACGAGGGACGGCTTTGAGAGTGACTCCCTGTCTGAACCGCAGTGAGGGAAGACTGGAGGGGTGTTGGAGAAGCAATGGGATTTCACATTAAACACATTTGAATGGGTATCGAGAGTAAAGAGCATCAATTGTAACGCTCAGTGGATTCATTTCCGCAAATACAGCCCATGTTACATAGTGTGACACCAAAAGATTTCAATGACAAGAACTGTACTTCCTGACTGGCTTCCCTGGTATACCAAATTCATTTTATAACTGAATGCTTTGAGATGTAAATGAGGTAAATTCAATGACATGTATAGCAGCACTGCAGCTTGCAAAGAATAGCCTCTGAATCCTGTTTGTGCAGCATATGAAGATGCATATAAAATTTTGGTATATACTGTATGGAGTTTATTTGTACCTAGTAGCTACCAAATCCCTTGTGTTCTCTATACGTTTGAAAATGCTATTATTTCTTTATGTTTTTTACATTTGGTATACATATACTGGAATTACTGAAGCTGTGATAAACAGGAGCTATGCATATATTAAAAACTAAACCAAACTGTTGCACCATTGAACAATGTATGATCTCTACAACAATCTTAACCAATATAGTTAAGTTAAACTTCTTTCCTCATTTCATATAATTTCAAGAAATTTGTATTTTATAAAAGAGGGAGAATGGGAAAATATTCTGAATTGACAAAGCATTTGACACATCCAAGTTTCATGTTGTCTGCATTGATGACTCTGTGATTTGTATGGTTGATAAAATTCAGTTCAGAATGGTTTTCACTAATTTAGGACAACCTCTAGAGTTTTTCTCACAATACTCATAACATGAAACATTTGGAAATAAGCCACTACAACTACTTGATAACAAAAAGCACAGAATGAGAAATGTGTTTAAAAAGCTTTTAGCTCTTGACAACAGTATCAGAGATTACATTAGTTGGTTTACTTTAGTTCTTTGTTGAAAGCAGACTTCCTAATATTTATCTGTAATGTGCGTCTATGCATGCAATAATTCCATGAAGAGGTCAAGGAATTTGTAGAACCATTATTCTTTATATAATAGATTAATGAGAAGTAATATATTTTAAGGGCTGTATCACAAAGTAGAGAACTAAGAAGGCTAAGGACAAATTGGCAATAAATCAATATAACTGATTACTATCCTCTTAAACACGCTTCAAAGATACACAAGTAAAACAACCCACAACATATGAGAGCATCCCATTAATTGAGAACACTTTAGTTCATGTACTCTACAACAACAGTACTTTTACAGCACATTATTACCATTTATTAGTTATTCACAATAACAGACATTTACAGTAAACCTGCATGTAACTCTTACAAGAAAGCTTGACACTTAAGAAACAGAGAAATGAGATGGATGAAAATGAAGATTGTAATATCCTTCTGTAAGGTGGCACTTCCTATCTTTAAATGGACCTTCTAATGACAGATCATTCTAAAGTATATTTGCATTCAGTGAAATTTAGATGTTTTCCTCAAACACTACTTAAAAATAATGGTAATAACAACAATAATAATATGAATAATAATGTATTTATAAGGAATAACAGATATTAAAACAATAATTATACTAGTCAATTAATTTTCAAAACATGTATTACAAAGTACAAAATTCACTTCTTAGAGTATTTTAATGTTATATCTACAATGATATCTTGCTAAAAACTTCTCAGCGGTTGAGCTTTTCAGAAGGAATGCTCTGTTTTTCTTTTTTTCAGTTTTAGCATGGAATTCATCTCTCCTTGTTCCTTTGCAGCTTACTTGATGATGCAGCTCCCAACTCAGACTTTGTCTTTAAAGTGCAACTGGTGTATAATTCGTTCTTTATCAGCTGGAGGCAAAAATAAACTTCAAAGAGATGCTCTTTGTGTCCTTCATGGCCAAATGTAACCAAGTATCACTACCTTACCATAAAGAGAATGCAAAATAAGATAGTAACCACTTAAGATAATTAGCAGGGGTGTGAAGTAAATATTAGAAATACCTTGCTACACTTTTTTACACATTTGTCAGAGATCAGTACTGGACTTCAGTATTTTATTTTCGGGATACTTTCACTTTTACTCAAGTACGTTGGTTGAGGTTAAGAAAGGTTGGAAAAGACAAGGTCAAGAAAAGACATTACTTTTACTCCACTACATTTTACAGAAGCATTTCGGCTCCTCATTCTGACGTTTACAGTACATGGTCAGAATCTGATTAGGTAAAGCAGAGGCGCAAGTGCATCGTGTCACCATGCTTTCGTAATATACAGTACTATTCTGGATCCCTAACACCAAACACAACAATAGCACCAATAAGGAATATATACGGGCAATGAGTTGCATTGAAAATGGCAAAGAGCACCAACCATCTGTGGCCTTGCCTCAAATAACTGTTTGAAAGAAGTCAAAGAAGCTTCTGAGTGCTTTAAATACCTTCATTAATTATCAAGTGCAGTGAAAGTTGCAGGTGACATTAACTTTCCACCAATTTAAAGAAATGTGGAGGTATTTGCATTTTTGTACCTATAGTTAACTGATTTAAGAAGCTAGTTATATTTCAAGAAATGTGATTAATTTGTCTGGAGTTTATGTAACAAGGTAAAGAATATCCCATTCTTGTACAGTTGGAAAGGGGATGGAATATTGTGAATGACTGTGCTGAAGTTCATTTGCTCTCTTGGCCATGCACTTACTTTTAGAAAAGTTAAGCACATGCTGTTAGAGAATGATAATTTATGTCTGTTATTCTCTTCCCTACAACATTCTAACTGTAGATCAAAAGAGACTGCTCTGCTTCTGTTACATTCGGGGACACAAAGTCACAACACAAATTAGGTGATTTTGTGCATGAAGTAGGAGAAATCTGCCATTCTGCGAGGAATGTTCATATGATTACGTAGTGCCGACAGTAATCAGAACCACTTCAAAATAATTATCACTAACCTTTGCTATAACCTTTGCATTGTGTGAATGGAAATCATGGAGGTGGCCGTCACAGAAGTTGATTATTCAGTTCAATTCTGTTTTTTACTAAATAAGAGTATTATACTATCCACAAGTCAAACGTCCTGAAAACTAGCAGTGGAAAAGAGCAATGAATCACACAGGAAACACAACACAGATCATAGAATAACTCCTACACTGACAGCAGCTTAGGTACACTAAGGGAACAAGAAATAACAGGTAATTAAAGAAAACAAACCACCATGACCCAAATCATTTTTAAGGAACTAGGTTCCATACAGAAAGCAGGTATCAAGACGGAATATGACATAAATAAACAATAAGCATACAGTAAATGGGAGGCCTTTGTAGATGTTTTGTTGATCCATTGAGGTATAACACTGTACTCCCTTTTCATTTCATTCTAACTGAAATGAAAGCAGATTGACTTAAATGACTGAGACGTTTCATGACTAATGTAGCTTTTACATTTGGCTGTATCGTTTCCATTTGTCGAGAGTCCATGTTGTGGTCCATTTCAGTTTCTCACAATGACAAATGTTTCATCTGAAAGCCCAACACTGGCAATAAAATATCAGGCAGGCAGTATGATATCAGGCACGGCAATGACAGTGCCTTATTTGTCAATGGGAGTGGTTGTAATTGCCCACGTTCCCTTGCCTGAACCCTCTGCTTTCCCGTCCCTGTAACACAGATGCAGATAGAAGACTCGACTCTCCCTGTTATATCAAGTGATGCATGTCCTTCATCTCTTGCTGGCAGTCATACAGGCAACACATGCTCCATCGGCACAAAACTAATGGTTTCATTTCCTGAGCAAATATTATCTTTTCATAAGGCATTCCACGATACTCAGCATCAGCATTATGTTTTAAATTAATCAAAACGCTGGCTAGGCAGTTACTCTTTCCACCTATTTTCCCCCCTTGTTATTTTTTTTTCTAAACTTCAGGATGAAAAAGCTGAGCCCAGCTACACTGGTTTACAGGCTTGGAATATAGGTTATTCAAACTATCCTTATTTAGTCATTATGATGATTTCACTATCTATCTCAGTACCTTAACAGATATTAATACAGAACAAATATATTAAGCCATTTTGACTGATGAAATGTTAGGTTGTATATAAAACTTAAGCATCTCCTTGAATTCCTAATCCCCAGGTAATGTTTTTAAGGTCAAAGGTTTCCCAATATCATCACTAAATATCAAATAACCAGGGTCAGCTCAGGTTCTCCAGGACAAATCCCACAATAACTAGCAAAAAGAGACATTTTTATATAAATCTGAAATTAGCAATGATTTTTTTAATTAAATAACCTACGAACCCAATCTAGATTCACTTGTTTCTAGATACTCATCTGGACCTTTCTATTCATCTTCTGACACACCCACCAGGCAAAACCTGTCCTCTCACAAAGTTCTACAAGCTCCACAGTGCCCTGCTGGAGAGTCAGGTCTGAGAGTATCCCTATCCATCTCTTACTAATGTCAAAGCAGGCACTGGGAAAGGAGCCCTAAACTGCTGAAATTGACAAAATGCTGTAAACTTCTCTTCCACTCTTATCCAAGTGAAGAACGCTGTGGAAAGGTTCCAGAGAGATGCAGCCAGGCTGCACCACATCTTCAAGGAGCATCCCAAGCAACACGGTTTGCAGCTAATTACTATATCCCATACTCAGCTTCAACAATGTATTTGGTCTTCTATATCTTCCCCAGTATTTTAATGTTTCAGACTTGTGCATGCCCAGTTAACAGATATTACTACTGAAATGTAATAACAGTACTTTAAAAAATGAGTCAATTAAGGGTTGAAGAATATAGCTTCGTTTCTGGTTTACACAATGACCTCCATATTCATTAATTATTAATTTTGGTTAATTAACAGATGAGTAAAAATTAATGTCACTTCTCTGCTGTGACAACAACA